AAGGGGTTGCTACCACTTCCTCAGGTTCTGCCTGGCCTTTGCTCTACGTCTGTGAGGCCCTGCATGCTTCGCGAGTCTCTTCAGCCACTGCCCAGTGTAGAGCGAAAGCGAGGCCGCGAGAGTCTGAAGCAACGACTCCAACCAGGTTCCGTGACTGGGTCCGCCCAACGTTCGGGAGAGGCAGGTTTTGAAGAATTTCAACACGTTGTACCAGTTCATCGTGGGAATAGCAGTAGGAGCCGGAGTAAGGCAAGTGGAAGTGGTAGGCAGTCGTAGTCGTCGTCGTTGTCGTAGCAGTAGTATCAGTAGCAGTAGCAGTGTTACTTGGAGCGGTAGTAGTAGTAGTAGTAGTAGTAGCAGCAGCAGCAGCAGCAGTAGCAGTAGGAGTTCAGTAGTGCTAGTAGCAGCTCAATGCCATCGAAACGGTTTAGTGCATTTACGGTGTGGCACTCAAGCCTTAAACTCCTCAACCCAAGCCAAACCAGAGGTGAGAATGCCGACAGTGCCCGAAGTCTTGGACACACCGGCGCTCGGGCGATCAAGGCCGGACATCAAAGTTCCAAGAAGCTTCCCCGGGCCAGCCCCATGTGCATCATGTACAAAGTGGCTCGTTGCAAGGTGCGCCTGGCTCCAGTCGAACATGCGGGAGAGGCTCGGCCGACTTTCCTCAAATGTTGGACTTCCTACTTCGACAATCTTCCGTGAATTCTATTAGGTGTCCTTAGGCATGGAGTCAGGAAGCCAGCTGGAGGCCTTAATCTCTCAGGCACCAAACCCTAAGCTGATTCTTCGTCGGGACGAAGCCTTTGGGGGTTGAGGGGATGCGCGCGCGTCATGTCGATTGGGCCTCCTTTAAGTACTAGCGCGGCGGAGATCCTTGATGTATACGGCATTACTGGTTTCGGGTCCCTGCGTCAAGTTCTTACCTGGCGACAGCGACGGTTTCGGCCCATGCGCTGGAGATCTTCGGTTAGCTGCCCTCAAGCCTAGACTCGAGTAGATGTCGACATGAAGGCCCTGCAACAGTCCCGACCATCCCGGCAGCTTCTTACGGATGTTGAGAAGTGGGGTGCTTTCTCATTAGGCTCCTTCGAAGATTCGGGGCCTTCTTGATTGGCATCGAATTCCTTTCGGGGGTCCCTTATATGGTCGCTCTGAGGATGGCTTTCGCAAGCTCCTGGAGAAGCTGAGCCCTGGTGTGCTGCAGGCCCTGCTTACTCTGCTTCGAAGAGAGGGCTGGGCTTGTGGGGTTTAAGTTGGGCGATTGAGGCCTTTCAAGATTAAGGTCGACAGAGGCAAAGCGATTGGAGCCGTGAAGTGCCCCGAAACCTGAACCGTAAATTCGTAAATCCTGAACTACAAAGCCCGTGAGACCCCGATGCGTTGATGCCAGGTGGCGACCCTGTGAGCCGCCAGCGGAGAGCGGCAGTTCCCCACCGGACCCGAAGACGTGCCGAATGTCGACGCCACCAGCGCTCGGATTCGGGCACGTCCCAGCATCCCCACGGATTTGAGAAGGGGCGGCCTGTAATTAAAGAGGTCGCTCTGGCTCACAGAGAGCCGTGAAGCCAAGAGGCTCTGCCTCTTGCTGTCCATGCTTGCCGACAACGTGGCGATGGTGACATCCAGGGGCAAGCTTCAGCAAGATCTCCCATGCACGGGAGCTGCGCAAGCAATGAGAGACACCCGCCGCAGCTTTCGTAGAGAAGAGAAACGCCCGAACAATTGGCAATGGGGGGTCGGTCATGAGCAGCAACATCCCACTTTCGGCCCCACATAGAAGTATAGTATATCATATCCCACGACCGCGTTCTGATGAGGTCGAACCCTGACTTTTGTTTGGTACAGAAGCTCTCAAAGCCCCAACTCTAATTTGTTCGGCATTTGCCTTGCAATCCAAGTCTTGGCTGACAGAATGCAGAGCGTTCACGTCGTGCTGTGATCCCTGGTCTTGTTTGGGTTCTCAATGTGGATCCTATGATTAACCCGGGCATCCAGATCAGGTTCCTGCACCAACAATTGTGTTAAAAAGTGCAGTCTCAGCGGTATGCTGAGAAACAGAATCGAATGCAAATCGTCGAGTGACCTGCGAAGCATTGAAAAAGACTTCGTGCCGAGATCAAAGCAAGAAGCTTGCATCTGTACTGCGAGTTGTTGGCAGTCGATTAAAAATACTATGGAAGAAGACCATCCATTGGATTTAGTTCAATTTGCATTTCCTGCGGACCCTACCGAGTGTCTAGGATTGGGAAATGTCCATGCTGGACAGGTCGCGATGGTCACTTCTGCAATGGCCAGCAGGGGTTCAGGAATTTTGATGGTGCGTGTAGAAAGTTGTCGGTGAATTTGCCAAGGGCACCCGCCCCCTCCCCTCCCCATGTGACGAGTCCATGAATCCCTCTCTAGGCCGATGTGCGAACTACATGGTTTAGATATGCTTTTCGTAGTGAGGATTCGGCAAACAGCAGAGCTGCTTCGAGGACCCTGCGCATCCCGTTGGCCTGAAGCTGGGGTTCCTCTCAGCAGATGCGAGCTCTTGTGCGTTTTGGTTTGGCCCAGGTGGGGAGGACCATGCACCATTGTGAGCCAAACGTCAGAAAGCCTTCACATGACTAATCAGACAGCTTCTGCACTACCGCCTCAATACTTGCAACGAAGATCTGAAGGCAGAATCGTGTAGCTGCCGCTCTGCTGCGGAATGTGTCATTGAAGCTGATCGGGGTGCCTGCAATGAAGCGCTCTCCGGTGGCATCGAGGCGCCAGCCATGCACCTCTTGCTTGCTTGCTTGCTTGCTTGCTTGCTTGCTTGCTTGCTTGCTTGCTTGCTTTGTCTTGCAGGCTTGTTTGCTGGCTTGGCTTGGCTTGGCTTGGCTTGGCTTTGCTTTCTTT